TCTTTCTTTCTTTCTTTCTTTCTTTCTTTCTTTCTTTCTTTCTTTCTTTCTTTCTCCATTTTGACACAATTTTGGAGACTTTTACTAAAACAGCACAGTACCTGGATTTCAGATGTAGTATGTTTATTAAAGTTATATGTCCTTAACTGAATGAGATGATGAGTTAGGATGTGTATAAGTTGCTCTGCCACACACAAAAAGTCCCCAATATGCGTTTTTCTCCTTTTACTTGGATTCCTAGTTATGGTAACATATTCCTACAAAGTAAAGCACATCTGTCTACTTACTGCAATGTGGTTTTACATTTCTTCATAAAATATAAAAAAGTGCCCAAGTTGAGCAACATGGGGTGAAAAATCTCATGTGGGCCCCAAAACTCTTTGGTAGTAACCTCTGGTGTGATTGCCAATAATGCTTGCTGAAAATTAGTAGTTCTGTTTCATGCTATCTTGAGACAGGAAACTAACAAAAGCTGTAGGGTAAAATGCAAAATAGGATTAACATAATCTAAAAAGCAAAGACCCTCCCCCAAATTACCACCAAATGTCCCCACAAATTAAAATAAAGACAGGCTCATCCATACATGGCATATACCCCCAACTGAGCCTCCGTTTGGCTAGAGCATCTATGGTGTTGAGGATAATGTGCACATCTGATACATAGAAATTCTACCTCAAATCCCTCACAGCCTTAACATTCACTTGTGGTCTGGGGCTTCTGTCTAACTCAGAAGCTGAAGCAAAAGTATTGGTCCAAGGTCATACTCTAAAGGGGGTTGAATTGCCTCATGGAACTGATGTGAGGATGTTGGGGGAACAGAAACATTTATATCACTAAGAACTCCTATGAAGAAAGAAGAATTAAATATGTAATAAGGAAAAAGAAACAAATATCTACTTCTCAGTAATAGAAATTGCAGAGCTGGAAAAAGTGTGGCAGGGGGAGGAAACAAAAATGAAAAGTGGCAGAAGCAGTTTCTCTGTGAGGAAAATTGATCATGTGTTGGTCTTTTTGTGCATAAAATAAGGGAGAGTCGTGATAGAGGTATATATAATTATGCATAGTATGGATAGGGAGTTTTCTCTCTTTCAATATACTAAAATTCAGGATCATCTGATGAAGCTCAATAGAGGTAGACTCAGGGGAAATAAAATTAATTCTTCCCTGAGCAGCTTCTGAAGCACTTCAGCGAGATGCTTCAACTCATGGATCACACTGTCTTAAAGCAATGGAGCATCTCACTTTGCTCTCTATCTTCATCAGCCTCAGTCTGGCAAATTACCTTACAAGAAGTGGTTTTGTGGAGGTGCTTTGACAAAGCATCTCTTCAAAGCCATATTCTTCACACAGCACATTTTACCTATTAAATTCCAGTAACAGAAACTGTAGGCTTCTTGGTACCTGTTCTGAGAAACATGAACAGAAGAATATGAAGGTCAAGTCTCCACACAGAGCTTGACTCCTGGTGATTTCATGAACACTTCCAGATTGTTTTCTAGGGAACAATACGGAATTGTTTTGCCACTGTTTCCTTCTGTAATTTTTTTTCCAGCTTCCCAATCCAACTTAAGTACAGAGGTTTTCTGGTGGTTACTCTTCAAAATGTGATTCCCAAGGCATCTGCTTGGCCACCATGGGAACAAAGTGCTGGATAAGATAGGCCTCCAGTCTGATACAGTGGTCTTTTTTTACCCTGTTAGGTACATGTCCATTGCTTGACACAAGCTACTATACTGAATCCTTCTTTCTCAGTTCTTCTTTGGGGATTTCATTTCAGGTTAGACCATTGCTGCCTACCATATTTCCAGACTGATGGAAACCAGGAAAGAGATAAGAAGATAGTTCAGCTTCAAGTTAAATATATGCATGGATACTGCACTTCACTTTAAATGTGGTTGATGTTTGTACCTTCTGCTGGACAGTTGAGCTAACAAGAAGGACTTTGAAAAAGATTGAAAAAGAACTGCTTGTTAAAATACTGTGTATTTATTTCTCAGAAATTACTTTTATTTTTTTTTCTGCTTGAAAGTTTTGCCCTTGAAAAAAATAATTGCCACCCTGGCTAATCCCAGATCAGAATGGCTCTATGCCTTAAGCAAGTTTTTAACAAAGACAAAACATTTCGCCCCCGTAAGAAATTTGAGCCAGGCACCCAGCGGTTTGAACTATACAAGAAAGCCCAAGCTTCCCTCAAATCAGGACTAGACTTAAAGACTGTAGTCCAGTTGCCCCCAGGGGAGAACATCAATGACTGGATTGCAGTGCACCTTGTGGACTTCTTCAACAGGATAAATCTCATCTATGGGACCATATCTGAATTCTGCACTGAGAAGAGTTGCCCCATTATGTCTGGCGGTCTGAAGTATGAGTACCGATGGCAGGATGATTATCGATTCAAGAGACCCACCAAGCTTTCAGCACCTCATTACATGTGCATGCTGATGGACTGGATTGAGACACTAATTAACAATGAGGACATTTTTCCTACTAGAATAGGTAAGTAAGCTTTGATTGCTACCTGGGAAGTTGATTCTTTGTCCTTATAGCTCAGAGCATTATTTATTTTGGCTTCAGTTGCTCCCCAGGTTCTCCTGTAGGTACTCTGAGGTGAGTCCCTCCCTTCTACTCACTCCAGAGGCAAAACTGGAAAAGAACCTGGCATCAGTTCCTGTGAGAGGAGACAGTTCCTTTCCCCATGCCAGTCCTTCCTTGCTCCTTAAAGCATGTCCACCCATGAGCCTTGCCAAAGCTAACTAACTCAATCACAGATCTTCACTTTTTTTGTACTTCATTTGTTTTTCTTCATTTTTGCCTGCCTTGTTAAAATGGCCAGCAGCTCACTGTGAGGGGATACCTTGGAGGATCTTTCCAAGTACTGAGTAAGGCTTTGATCTCTAGCAATATGCACCCTCACTTCCACAGCGAGTATCACCTCCCCCCCACCAGGAGGACCCAATACCACAAGCCTCTCATAGCTGTCAGAGGGTTCACTGCTGTTCCTTGTGGGAGCCAGATAGCCCAAGTACCACAGAAAATGGATGGTAGTAATGCTGCCTTAACCCACTATCCTTCACTAATGAAACAGTAGCATTTGAAATATTAAACTGGCTGACAGGTAATATCCCCTCAAGAAGGCCCAGTAACTCCCCAGAGACCCCCTAGGGAAAGCCGTGAGGTACCTAGGTGGGCTGCAGCCTTAGACTCCACCTTTACCCCAGGAGAAACAGGAAGGGTGAGAAATCTCATCTTGTTGCCTCTAACGGGAACAAGCCTCAAGGAGACAAGAAGTAGAAGAAGGGGGAGAAGTAGGATCAGCCTCTATAACCTTCTCCTCCACAGAGAAGGATCCCTCTCCTAACTCCCATTGCAAGGAGCAAAGACCAGACCACCTTTGCAGGTAGAAGAGGGTTAGGGTTTTGAACTGGCCAAGGAGGGAGAGACATGCAGTTTCTCCCTTATACCACGTCTCTCTTTAGAGCCAGTCAGGGAAAAGAAAAGGGAAAGTTGCCCTAGATGGAGAAGACTGTGGCAAGTCTGAGTCCACCTGATTGTTCCACAACTACTCAGAAAAAATCAGATTATTCAGATTTTTTTTTATTGTGGATAATTCTGAATTTATTTATTTAAATGATTTATAGAGCCACCCCTCTCACAACAGTGACTGTGGAATTGTTGGTTTAGCCTCTAAAATAACCTCTCTAATACATTCAAAGCCTTAAGACTTATTTCAGTGAGCTGACTCACACATGTACAGCAGCATTCTGCTCATTATTAAAGCAGCTGTATCTTTTTTTCTAGGCTTCCAGGCAAACTTGAAAAAGAGATGTTCCTCCTTTAATGAACTGGATCATTGCAGCGGCATGTCTTTAATACTTCTCTTAATGTAGCAATGTCTCTTCTCAGGCTGGCACAAATTGCAGACAAGCCAGTTCTGCTTTTTTTTTTTTAATGCAACAATACTTCCACAAATACAAAAGGAGGGTGTGAGGGATATGTATTGAATTTTTCTTCTATTGTGAAGGAATACCATTTTGACACAGCATGTTCCTTTTTGTTTTCACAGCTGGCCAGCTTCATAAATGCTTACTTGTGTCATCTCTAACTTTTCCCCTCCCATCTCCTTTCAAAATTAATACTGTGTAAAACTTTGCAGCTGTTTTTGTGCCTTTCTCATTGGTTTAAAACACAGATTGAGGCTTATTTATGGAAAGAGGCAAATAATAATATTTTATGTGTAGTGGGATTTTAAAATCCATGACAAAATACAGTTGTTCTGAATGAGTCGTTCTTCCCAGACTTAACACTGTAATGGCTGAAACTAAAAAATCCAACTGACAGGTTTCATTTGACTGTGTCAGAGAAATGTTAGCTTGGAAAGATGAATCGTTTAACATTCTCTTATGTAATATATTTGTGCTTATTGTTCCCCATTTATAATGCATTAATATATTAATTAACAATATTTCCATATTGGAATTAATGGCACTTTGAAATCATCCATTCCTAACCATGATGACACCAAAATGACAAAATGTGCATTGTGATGTCATAATGCAACCTTTCCCCTTTCATACTTGTGTCACACTGTTGTATATAAATATGTAAGGGGCATGGTTTGCATTATGACGTCATAACAGGCATTTAGTCCCTTCCCCCTACTCCATCAGTGCCCTTGGACACTGGGCAAGGTGGTAGTCAGGATTTAGAAATTCTACAAGATGCCATTCTTCAGTTATGCCCTCTGTACTCATAGGATTGTAGTCAGACAACAGTCTCTCTCTGAGGATGATACAACTGAGTTCCATTTATATGTACACTCATCCAGTTATAATCTTTGTTCACAGGTTTAGAGATATTCCTAGTTTTTAAATGAAAAAAAAAACTACAAAAACCATTTGTCAGTGAGACAGAAATGTCATATGACATTCAACTCACTTTAAAACGATTGACTCTGGCTCCTGATAGCAAGAATTGAACATTGATGCATTTGAGTTCCCCTGCTCATAAAACTAGACTCAAAACATATTTCATAAATTACCTTTTCAGTATTGTTTCAGGTAGTAGCTAATACAATAAGGCAGCATGCATTTCTCTGATGTGTATCATTATCTGTGAATATCCTGCCACTTAGCAGAGCTGGATAGAGATTGTGGCAATCCATTTCCACATTCCAAAGATGATTTGTAAGAACTAAAAACACATGATTCTTACTGAAGAACAAAACAAAACAGAATCTCAATAACAATGTCCTGATTGTGGTCTCTGAGGTCAAGAATACTGTACATAAGCTGCAGTTCACTTTTAATATAGCAAGTGAGATTAGCTGTGGAAAAAGAACTTCAGGAGAAAATAGTGCAAATATGAGAAGTCCAGGGAGGATTTGGCATGCTCTCCCTTATCATACTTTTGTTCTTCAGATCAAATTACCACTCTCAGTTTTTAAAGATTATTGGGGAAGAAACATTTAAAAAAAAAGGGGGGGGGGGAGAAAGAATCGTCACTGTTAGGCTTAGTTTGACATTCATGGACTTTCACAACTAGAAACTGGGAGATGATGGCCATTTCTCCATCAGTGGCATAAAGTGTCTTCATAGTATCACCCAGTCATTATAGACATGGTATAAAGCCACTCCTCATTACTGTGTTTTGAAACAACAATGGTGGGATGACTCTAAAAGATGCTTTAAGTCACTAGAAGGGAAATGACTAATGTCAGTGATATGGCATTGAGCTTCAGTAAAACTTCTTTTGGATCCCAGTGAATAGATATTGCAATTTCCTAGGATTCAGAAATAACCCCACCATCAATTATATGTTGTTTGTTGTCATCTTCTCAGCAGTGTGTGCTTGGCTAAATTGCTATGCACTTGAACAACTGCTAGCTCTAGAAGCACTTCTGTTTAGAATGCATTGTGATCTCTGTGGCATAGGAGAAATTTTGGGCTGGGATTAGGGCTAGACCAGGAGCCCTTAAACTTTTCCAGGGTTGATTCCGTCATCATGGTAACTGTTATCAAAGGTTGGAGGAAAGTCTAATGAGATCAGTAAGGTGAAATTTTCCTCTACATTACATTTTCTCTCAGCTAAAGCCACTCAGAAGAGCCTTTTGCCAAACACATGGCAAGATCAAGAAAACAGATGGTGTCCAAATCGAGACTGGAGCTGCTGTGCACCAGTTGTTCGATAAGGTTTCCTGGGCAAATGGCCTTAAACAGTTCAAAAGTTTAATGTGCTTTTCCTAGTTTCAATTCCAATATATTAGAGGATCCTGTGTTGTGGAAAGCTGACCTTAGATATCTTAGTGTTACATGAAATGAGCATATCTTACTTATCAGATTTCTACCACACTTCCTGACTGGAGGAAGGTTGTGATCTCCTTTTAGGCAATCAGAGTATGCAGTTCCTGCTTGTGAATGTACTGACGACAGCTTAGTTTGCTGCTTTTACAATATACAGCAAAATTGGTTTTCAGATTTCCACATAAAACAGAATAGGAAAATAATAGAATTGCATGCCAAAGCTCATTCCAACTTCCTTCCTTTCATAAACTTGACTAACCATGCATGGTTATTCAATTGCAGTTGGGAAAAAAATCCAAAACTCAGCATGGATATTATTATTAACTTAATGCTTTTCAATTTACAACGTGTTGCTCCGTGCTTTTTTATTATTCTAATTCCAATAAATTATGTAAAGGAGATCAGAACTCTGTCCATCAGAATAACTTTCCAAAAACTGAACGGAACAAGACCAAATTTGGTATGGCAGGAGAAGCCAACAAGTGAAAGACTGAATTTGAAAATGGTCTACATCTGCCTTGGGGCTACAGAGGGGCTATGTTGAAGAAAAAAAAAATCCCCAATATGTCCCTATTTGTTGTTCAGT